TCCCATAGACTTACATTGGGAAAGAGATGTCTGTAAATCAGTGGCTAAATTTTTTTGAGCACATCACAACCTCTGCGAAATGATTAGTTTCCCTTTCGGGAGTTGATCGATTTGGTCCGATGACATTTAAGAAGTCTAGAATTGGAAATTAGCCACTTGGCTGGCAAAAGTCTGCAGTGCACTTGCTCTATGGGACCAACAATGCAGAAGATCTGGTGGTAGTAAGTTCACCCCTGGGACGTCAACTTTTCGGCCACATGTACCACTAATGCTGCGTCCTGTTCCATGTCAGACAGCATCTTTGTGCCTAGTTACAGCCTCACAGAACCATTAGTATGCCTTATATCCACTGCATAGTACGGCACGACTCAAAATAATGTGCCCTTTTTTGGATTTCCATCAGCAAGAGTTGTAGATAGAACCTGGTACTGTCTCTGGTTCCACCTTGGTCGAGGTTCTGAGTGGACTAAGTCAATAGAGGGTGGAGTTAAACACTGCAGACCGTTGATTGGTGAGAGAAAACCATCATTAGCAGGGGTCCGTCCCAAGTCTCTTATTTTTATAGTGCTACTGCTAGCTCCTCGCTTGAACCGGAAGTCATTCAAGGTCCACCATCTTCTAGGCCGTCCCAAGTCTCTTATTTGTGCAGCGAGGAGCTAGCGCTAGGAGCTAGCAGCAAGCTTTAAGCAGCTACGAGCTAGGATGGTTGAGAGCTTCCTATCCGGAAGAGTTTTTCAGCTGAACGCCATGACATATAAATACCCGCCCTCTACATCTGGCACATTTGAATGAGATGGCGGAGAAACAGTACAAGAGTAAGTACCCATTACATGCATTCTTTGCAATGATTCACTGACTATGTTGAATGATGGTGAGTTAATTGAATGATCGTGCTCATCACAGTGACAGTGGAATAGCAGGGCTACAGACCATTCTGTAATTGCACAAACTTCAACAAATGACTCAATAACAATGGTAATACATGCAAAAGTGTGTGACCAGAGTCATGATAGCGGGGGGTGGGGGCTACTGTTTTGGTCAGCGAATATAATGAGACTTGGGATGTACCCATAGTAACACCAGACGCTGGCTGCTTTATGGAGCAGATCCAGCGGTGCCGCCGTCATCAGGAATGGACATCGCTTCATGTGACGCTCCAGTGGAAAGGACGTCTCATGTCTCCTAAACCGACAATGCTCGCTCATCGCTCCTAGCGCTAGCTCCTCGCATTTTTTCCTAGGTGGGAGGGGATAAACAGCTAACAAAGTCGGCTAGGTAAGATAACTAGCAGTAATTTAAGAGACTTGGGACGGACCCCATGACACAGGACAGCCTGCACAGACCCGCCATTTTTAATTAGCCAGGCTACATTCAGTAGCAACCGTAATTTTTTAATGAACTCAATCCATATTTTCAAAAATGCTAGGCATACACTAAGTACACTACACAGTACAATTAACAAAGTGCAGATGTTCCTTGGTTTGGTTGCCGATGAAAAGATTCAGCCAATGTCACGTTAAAGATAATGTCATGGCAGTTTCACGCAGCGTCGCTGTGGCAATTGGCTGAAAATCCCGCCTACACTGAGAGGGGATGATCTGCAATGGAAAACAAAATACATAAAAGCACCTGCTACCAAGAGTAAGTCAAGCTGAGTTGAGCCAAATCATGCAGTGGAAATGAGGCGTACGTCTTGTTTGAGCTTTGAGCAAAGCCAGACAAACTGTTTCCCCCTGTTTTCAGTCTTTATGCTAAGCTACGCTAAGCTAATTGTCTCCAGGTGTTGCGTCATGTTAACATACGCAAGGGTGGTCTCAATCTTTTCATCTAACTCAGCAGAAAAGCAAATGAAGCGTATTTCCTGATATTTTCCTTTAACATTTCCATTACTCACTCAGTGTTTTCCATTGTTACCTTTTAAAGTATGTTTGGCACCGTGTGAATATCTGTGCTAAATTTGTATGCTCTGTATTGTATGCTATGTATGCTCTTTTATGTAACAGTTGTACATGTTAGGCCTTTGCCTTTATACACACTCCCTATACGTGACTCTCACATTGTTCTGCACGTTACTTGCAGCTGAGCAGGCACCTGCGCCGGCAGTAGAGGACATGCACAGCAACAACAGATGAGGTAGCCGCGGGCCAGGGCCACTGGTGGGACTCGGTACTCACTTGAGAAAGTGGGTTGCATTATGTGTTTACTGTACTGTATTGGCTATGAGTACTGCTGTGTGTGTGTGTGTGGGGGGGGGGGGGGCACTACAGATGTCCTTGCCTTGAGCTTTCTCTACATGAAAATCAGTGCTGCTCACTCGTTGGCACAGAGTGACGTCACATTATGGGGCAGGAGTGAATCCTAGAGTCACACACAGAGGGTTCAGTTTTAAAGGTTCAGTGTGTGTGATTCAGCGGGATATATAATATAATAAGTATGTTTTCTTTAGTGTAGAATCACCTGAAAATAAGAATTGTTTTTGATGTTTTTGTTACCTGAGAATAAGCTGGTTATATCTACATAGGGAGCAGGTCCTCATCCACGGAGTCCACCATATTGCACCGTCATGTTCCTACAGTAGCCTGGAACAGACAAACAAACACTGGCTTTAGAAAGGGCAATTTGCATTTTCATGTTTTTCCTTATTTTTTTGAGCAGTGTTGAAAACGGCTTTATTCAGTGCTTTTACCAGTTTGAATCACAGGGACCATTTATTTTGGAGAGTAGGAGACCTCTGCATATAATTCGGCTCCTAGTAAAAACCTCCTGAACATCTGGATCTTAAATTATCAGAGTAAAAGATGAGCACACATCAGCAGGTGCTGGGCTAGACGAGCCGACAGCTTAGGAGAAACATTGATTTGTGATGAGGAACTGGAATTCAGTGTTTTTACCGGTTTAAATCACTGTGTTCGTTTGTTGTGGAGAGGAAGAGACCTCTGCGGATAATTAAGCTCTTGGTAAAAAGAGCCTGGTCTCACTCTGAAGTCATCGAAATTTGGCGCTTGGGCAGTGACTTAGCAGTGGCATCCTTTAACGCCGGCATGATACACAGCCGGTTGCCATGATAGTATAAAGGCGCCGGGCGGTGTCAGTGGGAAACGTGATGGGACAAGGACGAAAGTTAAGACGGTGAAAGTCTGACTGGAGCAGGCAGAAGGGGTGGTGGATGGGTCCAACAAACACCAACTTTCACCCGAGGAGCCTGTAAGCTTCTAAAACCAAACCGTGTGCCTTTTTCCTAAACCCAACCACGTGTTTGTTGTTAAAGGAAAAAAACGTCAATTCGTGCTGTTGTATCGACGTAGTGCATTTATTTTGAAAGAGACTGTATGTAAACGTTAAATTTCCTGTGAAAACAGAAGTGTATTTTGAAAGAAGACAATGCATGTAACAGGCAGAACTTGACACGGTGTCCCGGAACGTCAACAACCAACGCACCCAGGGTACCTTGCACGTCGTATATGGACGAGAAAAGTCCATGATCAAACGTCAATATGTGACGAGGTCAGAGCGAAGTGAGAATGTGTTGGTAAATGGTAAACGGTAAAAAGCGCTGGGCTAGACGAGCTGACAGCGTAGGAGAAACACAAACTTTCGATGTGAAAGTGCTTTATTCAGCGTTTTTACATGTTTAAATCACCAGGTCTGATTGTTTTGGAGAGTTGGAGATCTCTGCGGATAATTCAGCTTCCAGTAAAAACCTCCTGAACATCTGGACCAGAAGTAAGGTGAGCATACATTTTGAAGTGCTGGGCTAGCGTCCCTACTTCGACATGCCAAACAGCATTGGAGAAACATTGATTTGTCATGTAAAACTGCTTTATTCAGCATTTCTACTGGTTTAAATCACCAGGTCTGTTTGTTTTGAAGAGGAAGAGACTTCTGTGGATAATTTGGCTCCTGGTAAAAACCTTCTAACTGATGAACACTGAAGCAAGTTCAGCTGGTTGCAATCTGGAATCCTCAGCTCCAAAAGACATTAAATCCCTCTAAACTTTACGCAGTGCTCCTTTAATGAAGAGACGACATGCAGTTATTGCTGAAGGTGATGTTGCAGTATAAGATAGACTGGATATTGGCAGGTTATATTGAAATAACCAACTGTACTTTGCTACATGGAAACAATAGAATATCTCAAAATGATGTATTTTATTAATTTAGCTGCTAATTTCTTCTGTTACATGTGACTGAAGAAACGGTGAAAAGATACAAGAGCACGGGTGTTAGTTGATGTTCACAGGGTTAGCCAGGTTTGGAAACATTAAATGCAGCAGAGGAAAAGTAAGTGAGAAACAGAGAGACGGTGACTGGGATGGAGAGAGAGCAAGGTGGCGATGAACCGTCTCAGTGAGAAGCACAGGAGCTTGCTGCCCTCTAGTGCCAAACACTCCCCGCTCCCTCTGTGGCAACACCACAATATGACACAGCTGAGAAGAGGATGAATTATTCATAAATGACGGGATGATAAAGCAGTATTTCACAGATCTTAGATAGGAGATGTAATTGATATCACAGGGCTGATATCAAACACATGCTTGTCTCTAAAAATAAGTGTAATCTTGTGGACAAGCCAGTGTTTCTGATGCTTCAAAGTGATATCAGCGATACTTTAAAGTATTAATAGACAATGCTCGGCTTGTATCTGTACACACAGGCAGTATTAATTAGTGGATTAATACCACAAGCAGCCTAAGTGGTCATCCAGGCTCTTTTAAAACACCCGTTGTGGGTCACATGCATCATTTTCAGGTCAGCTCACCACCTCCTCTCTGCAGTTTTATGAATGTCAACAGCTCCAGCCTCTCTCTCTGGTTCTCTCCCACAGATTAACCTAATGGTGCCAGTCAGCACCAGCACAGGGGTGGTTCAGGTTTAATGTTTAAGCTTTTACTCGCCCCTCCACACACACATTGGCCAATCGCCCTGCGTGAGCGGAACTGTGAGTCACCTGAGAGACTGAAGAGGGTGAGTGGAGTGGGCCTGGTGGCCATTTTACAGTAGTTCCTGTCTTCTTACAAACAGCCGCTCAAAGTCCATCTGCATGACCAGAGAGACGAGCTGGGGTCAAATGGGTAAGAGGAGTTTTGAGATATTTTTTTTTTTTATCGTCTCAAAAACAAATATGCTCTGCGTTGTGAGTGTGTTCCCACTTTGTGACAGTTCCATGACTCTTGCTGTGTATTAAGAGCTTGTGCGGCAGCTTGCTGTGAGTCACAGCTCAGCTTTAACTCCTCTGTTATTAGAGGAGCCTGAGCTGTACTGCAGTCATGTTGTGGTCCCTCTCTGAGTTGTTCCACTGTAGCAGAGTGTGGCGTATTTCTGATGCCAGCCCACACACTTTGAGCAGTGTATTTAAAGGACTATTCCAGTGTGTTGGCATTGTTGGGCCACAAATCACACTGTGATACTGTAACATCACCGTTAGTTAGAGTAAATCCTTTCTTCTACCATTCCTTCATTTCTATTCAATATGAAATTTGATTATCAGACTTTTGCTTGAGCTGTGTAATCCATAACAATAAACATTAAAGGGTAACTATGTTTTTTTTTTAAACCTGGACCCTATTTCCCCATGGTTTTATGTCTATATAACTAATAGGAACAACAGTTTTTTAAATTGGTCCAGAACTGAGTTAGAGTCTTGCAAACGGCAGTGGTGAGGCAGACTGCAATGTAACCACTTGGGGCATGTTTACATCGTCTTTATGTCCACAAAAACTGCTTGTTTTTGCCCTGACAGGCTCAGATCATTGTTTTAGGTTTCTGACAGTTCATGAAGAGCAACCCTACAGAGATAGACCTTTTAGTTTTACCAGAAAAAGCCCAGAAATCTCCATCGCCAATTCTACCAGACCCCATTTAAATAAACACTAATTTTAGCATGTATAGTGCCAGCATATTTAAGTGTGATATTTACATCTAACTTGGTAAATTAAAGGTTAACTGTAACCAAACCAGAGTTGGTAATTGTTGAGACAGCTAAAAGACGGACAAAGACAGCTTCTGTATGCTTTATTTTGTCTCAGTTGACTTTGAATGAAGTGTCATTTATGATGATAAAATTACTGTTTATTTAAATGGAGTCTGGTGGGTTTAGCGATATCAATTGTGGGACTGTTTCTGGTTCAACAAGAAGGATCTTACTCTTTAAGAAAAAGGTCTGTCTCTGTAGGGAACACTTGAAATAATAATCTGAACATGTCAGTGGCAAAAACAAACACTCTTGGATGTAAATTGGAGATGCGGATATGCCCTGAATGGTTACATTGCAACTTATGGGCCCTATGTACATCTCAACATGTGATCAGTGTCTGGATATGTTATCTGGATAATGATATCAAGTCAGTGGGTCTTTGAATTAGTCTGTATGCATTTAATTTTCGTAATCCAGATAACATATCCAAATACAGATTAATGCCAGGTGTAAATAAGATATGACGAAACCACATATAGTTATCACCTAGCTCTGCAGTTTCCCTCATCATTACAGAACTTTTTAGTATCTTTCAGTTCACTGTTTTGATTTTCAGGCCAAACTGTCACTGTTCTGGGTCACTATCACGACTCTCACCAGGCAATCTGCAGCTCAAGAGCCAGATATGTCACTCAAGAGTTGGTGGAAACCAAAATGGAACAAAAAGTAGAGAGAATATTGTGCCTATTTTCTCAAGGTGGACACAAACAAGACTTTAAATAAACGGCAATGTTGCTCCATATCTGCTGGGTGTGTAAGTAGCCAGCTGGTTGCTGACAAGTTTGTTTTATCACCTTAAACACAGATTTGGTCCTTCAAGATTAAATCTTCAGAGAGGACACCGTTTCCATTATTTCATATCGTCTTTATCTTAGAGACGACAATAGAATCATAGTTTTACAATCATTTCTCTTTTATATTTTATTTTTTATACATCTGAGAGGTTTATGGAAGGTGATATAAAGTTTAAAGTTCATAACAACTGGCACATTCACAATCATTTTGATTTGAATCAAATGAGAGATGCTGGAGTACTGATAAAATCATAACATGCGAGCTGCTGAGGCTCAGGTGTGTAAATTATACATTTTACAGCATGTAATTATGGCACATATGCTTTCATGCTTATTATCCATAACTAATAATTTATCTTTTTTGCCCCCCACAGTTTCTCCCTCTCAATGCCTCATAAGGACTGCGTGATTACTTCTTTCTCAATGAATCACCAAAATCAGCCCACAGCATGAAAAGCTGGAGCAGGAAATTCAAGAGACAAGAGGCTGACAGTGTGGTCGGGTCCTCCTCTAGCAAGAGGAACGCCATTAGTGATCCACCAGTGCCTGTGTGGGTTACTCACACACCCACACCAGATAACATCACAGATGATGGTGATACTAACTCCACAGGCCGCACATCCAGCACTCCGCCGTACGCAGAGAAGGATGACAATAAAGGGAGCCTGAAGGACAGACTGAAGTCCTTCATCCCTCAGTCATGGGGGGGCCTCATCCATAAATGGGCAAAGGAAAGTGACAGTTTTAATGACTCTGAGGCCAGCACCAGTAGGATCCAGATCCTTCCTAATGGGACCAGGGTGAGCCCTCCTGTAACTCCCCTGCTGGAGCGCAGGAACTGGGGCGACTCACTTGGCCACTCCAGCCAGAACTCCCAGAAGCCTTTGTTAAGGGATGATGATCTGTTCGATGTGGTCCCACGAGAGGAGTCTATCCTGACCAGCATCCACCCTGCAGAGTACTACGCCGAGAAGCTGGAGGTCTACAACCTGAAGTACTCTTATTTGAAATCCTGGCCAGGGTTGCTGAGACTTCTTGCAGGACTCCAGCTGCTATTCGGGGGCATGGTCTTCGCTTGTGTTATCGCTTACATCCAGAAAGACAGCGAGTGGTCCAACAGCTACGGACTCTATAACGGCGTGTACAACAATGGGCTAGGCCTGTCTGGGTACAGCTACAGAGGCCCCATGACTCCCTTTGTACTGGCAGTAGCTGGAATCTCCTGGATTATAACCCTCGCTCTCTTAGTGATGGGAATGACAATGTACTATCGCACCATCCTCCTTGACGCCCCCTGGTGGCCTCTGACGGAGGCCTTCATCAACGTGGCGCTGTTCCTGCTCTACATGGCAGCAGGGATCGTCTACCTGAACGACTTGAGCCGTGGAGGGCTGTGCTACACGACAATAGGCATTAACCCCATCATGGCCAATCTGTGTCGGGTCGATGGGGGCCAGATGGCGGGAACGGCTTTCATCTTCATCAACATGACGATGTATCTGGGAAGCTTCCTGGTGTGTCTGAAGATGTGGAGGCATGAGGCGGCACGTAGGGAGAGGGAGTACTTCGAGAACCAGGTACAGGTTATTAATTCTACAAAGATTTTAGATGGAGGACAAGTTTGTCGCTTCTAGATTTAAAGTGGGAGGCGAATCATTGTCATAAAAAGAGCAGAGTTGCTGGATACGGGAAATGTTCCTCGTGAAGTCAGTGCAGAAGTATTAAGTTATTGCACTATATAGGGCCAATACAAAAGGTGTCAGTTCCCCTTTGAAGTGCAGTCTTGTGCATGGGAGGTCATTAAGTTTTTGGCCAACAAGGAACTGAACTTATCTGTTTGCAACTAATCAACGTAAATGTAAGCATCCTTCCCTGTTCCCTCCCCAGTTAACAATGCAGACATACTGTTTTACAACACCTGCGGATTTACAGCACTCGGTCTGCCAGTGTTATGTCGAAGATTGTTTCCCCCGTCAATGCACTTCCCCCTACCAGAATCGGAACCAAACCTTTTCCTTTACTGAACCACAGAGTGGGGCACCACACATTTTACCAGGAGGGACACACCATTCGACAGGGTAACAGACTTCCACACAACTAGAACTAGAACTAGAAAGCCTTTATTGTCATTACATCAGCCTTGGCTGGTTGAGTTCCTGTCTCAAGCCCGATTCAACCTCTTCTTGTTCACTCCTCATAGCAGGGGGCGTGATCAGTACCCTACGATAGCAGTGAGTGGGCGAGTGGGTAATGTTGGGGATTCATAAGCCCTCAGATGTTCAACAGGCTGACACTAAAACAATTCATTTAAAAGATTTGTTTGTTCATTTTCACCCATCATTACAGACAACACAGCTGCTGGTACTGCGGAAGCCAGATCATATGAATATTTGAAGACGTTTTATTCACCACTTAGTACAGATTCCAATGTAAAAGGTCTCCCATTTTTCTGAATTGTGCATGCCAGGTCTGAACAAACAAGTTTGAACGTCAGCCAAAGCAACAACAAATTTGAAGCATCCGAACAGTCTTGGGAAATAACTGTGAATAATTGATAATCACAAGATTTTATTTTATTCTAATAAATGGAAAAATACGATCGGAAACTAGTTTATTTTTTGGGACCGTGAACTTCAAAATTCAAACTGTGAACTACGGCGTGATCTCCGAGCCAGCTCTTGTGAGGTGTGACCGTCCACAGCACTGTTAAAGTGTTCACAGCTTTTGTTCTCAGTGTCCGTAAATATTTAGCCCATGCTTTATCCCCTTTCTTGTGTTTTACTCTGTCTATGCTTATCTGTCACATTCTCTCCTGAGGCTTTCCAAATGAAGTTTGGGCATCATTCTCCCCCTGTTTTTACCATCTTTTGATGTCATTTAAAATATATATGACATATCAAACACCCCATTTATTGTTGACAACAGAAAGGGATACTATTACTGGTTGCAAATGAGCCAACAACAGCCCCGAAACAACAGTGGCAGATCAAATCCAATGAAATTTAAAGTCAGTCAAGATAATCCGCAGTGACCATGCCATTTGTTGGTATTGATATGTCAGCTTTTTCTGCTGGCAGTCGACCAGGATTCGTCCCAAAGCTGTAAACTGTGTTTTTCTTTACTTTATAGACCATGCAGTCCTCTCTGTGTAAATGTGCCAGAAATAGATAAGTTAAAGGTGAAGCAGGCATTATTTTTTATGCTTCCACATGTACAATGCTTTTCCGATGCATATAAAATTATTTGCCACTGGGGTGAGGCTGACATAGCACTAAAAAAGAGTCAATGATATTGATAGTAATATTGAGTTATGGCAAAGTCACTCTTGCCTGTGTCTTTGGTATCGACAGTGAGAAGTTTACTTTTGAATCGACAGCATAAGACATAGTCCTACACATAAACACTGCTCTATAAATTATAATGGTATAACAACATCAATGCCTCTATGTTAAAGGGACAGTTAAACCCAAAGTAAAAAGTACATTTGTTTTCCTCTTAACTGTAGTGCTATTTATCAGTCCAGATTGTTTTGGTGTGAGTTGCTGAGTGTTGGAGATATCGGCCGTAGAGATGTCTGCCTTCTCTCCAATATAATGGAACTAGATGGCACTCATCTTGTGGTGCTCAAAGTGCCAAAATAATTTGTTTGAAAAACTCAACAGCAATGTCTCTTTCAAGAAATCATGACCTGATTACTCAAGATAATCCCCAGACCTTGTTGTGAGCAGTTTCATGTAGGAACTATTTTCTCTCTATAGAATTACACCCGCCAACTGTATCTATGCGCAGAAGGAAGCGCATCTACTCATGAATGAGAGGCTTGTGTTTGTGACAGTGCAAGTTTTAAACACTGAAAGCGTCCTCCTCCAGGTTTTTGGTGGCTAAGGCATGACCAGCCTTACTCTGCCTTACCGTGCCTCTGTTTGGCTCACCCTGACATTCTTACCCTGAACCTGACCAACCTCACTCCTGCTGCCTAAACCTAACCAACCCAACCAATGAGGGCAAGGAGTGCTAGTGAATCAGAGTGAGAGAAGTGTGGGTCATACCTTTGCCATTTGGAGAAAAAATATCTGTCCTCCTTGGCTGAGCTGTAACGTTAGCTTGCTCAGATGAGCTAGTAGTATTGAAGGCTGGGGTATAATTTGGTGGAAAGAAAAATAGTTCCTACATGAAACTGCTCACAACAAGGTCTGTGGATTATCTTGAGTAACCGGGTCATGATTTCTGGAAAGAAATGTCTGCTGTTGAGTTTTTCAAATATAGTTTTTTGGCACTTTGAGCACCACAAGCCGAGTGCCATCTAGATCCATTATATTGGAGAGAAGGCAGACATCTCTACGGCTGATATCTCCAACACTCAGCAACTCACACCAAAACAATCTAGATTGATAAATAGCACTACAGGTAAGAGGACAAATATGTAGTTTGGATTTGGGGTGATCTGTCCCTTTAAAGCTGAGTAATCTGCGCAGTGTAAGGTTGACAGGATGAGCTTGCTAGCAGATCTGTTAGGCTGTACGGAACTTAGCTGAATGCTAACATCAGTATTAGGGATGCATTATAATACCAGCGTCATTGGCATTGGCTGGTATTGGCTTCAAAAGAATCTGCCAGCATGCTTTTTCTTATTTGCACAATGACTGAATATTACATACATTACATACAAGTATTGTATTTCATGTCTCCATCTGCTGGTGGGCCATCACGATAAGAGTATACATGCATAATATGATGTTAATTCCACTACAGAAGAGACTTGATGATCACTAAACTTGAGTGGGGGAAAAAAATGGATATATCGATATCAGTATCGGTTATCGGCCATTGGATATTGGCAAAAAATCCAACATTGTGCATCGCTAATCAGTATGCTTATGTGCTCACAATTAGTGTGTTTACATGGACATGTATATCCTGTTTACGAGACCTGTTCCAGTTATGATTGTATTTGGGATATGGTGTTAACAGGAAGCTCCAAAAACCAAATTATGAACGGGTTATTCATGTCCATGTAAATGCACTCTATGACTATACTAACATATGATGTAAAGCTGCTGATGTTTACTTTGTTTGCCATCTTTGTTTAGCGTGTTAGCATGCTATTGAGATATTTCAAGTCAGGGACAACAGACCAACCAACACATTGCCCAAGAGCATGGCAAAAACAAATAGGCCTATGTGCACTGTGTGATGGTTGGCATTGGAATTTGATCCAATTACTCCAACATACCCATTGAGCAATCCAGTAAACACCCAATAGTTCTTTTAAAGTATTAGAGTAGACAGCCTGTTTATTGTTGTGCCAAGTTAATTTCTCGTAGTGTAAATCAACACAGATGGCCGAGATATAGTACTCACACTACATGTGTACATTCCCTTCAAGCTTATTACTGTTTGCAAATAGAGTCCACTTTATCGAGCATCACAGCCACCACCTACGGGTGAGAAACAGCATGGTCAGCCAATATATTTGATGTCCAATAAGAAAGGGCGAGAGGCCAGGAGTGAACATAATAATTCCATCTCCCAGCTGAGGGAATGCAGCTTCAGAGGCTTAGCCTGTTGAAGCAAAAGAATGGGGCAGTTTTTTCTCTTGGCTGTACTTTTTTTTAAAATTGGGATTTCTCTGACACATAGCTTAACCTAAATTTAGCTCCAAGGCCTCTTAGAGAGTTTCTTGTGATGATGACACAGGCCTGCATAGTGGGGTATATTCATTACATAATTTCATTTGCTGGTTCATATTTTGTTAATAATCCTTTTTGTCTTTTACCCTCAGCCCCAGGAGGAGTTTCACCAGTCCATCCCACTGACTCCTCAAAAACCAAAGCGCATATCATTCAAGGATGAAATGGATAAGTCTCCGAGCAAAGACTGTATTAATCAAACTGTGGTACATAAGAACCCAGTCAGTCTGAACAGAGGCGCAGAATACACCCCCAAAGTACACATCATCGCAGACTACATCATGTGAGTGAATGTGCATGTTACCGGATTGTGTAAATATTCTGACTCCTTTTTGCAAAACATTTCTCTACCTGTATGAGTCATACTGTTTATACTAGATGTCATGACACCGCTTAATCTTCCTTTAAACCTTATAGAAAGTATCCAGAGATCAGCAGTGTGGAGGAAAGGGAAAAGTACAAAGCAGTTTTCAATGACCAGTATCAGGAGTACAAGGACCTCCACAAAGATATCAGCACCACCCTCGATAAGTTCAGAAAGCTGGATGTCATGATGGCACGACTGCTCAGAGATGGAAAAAGCCAAGAGGTGAGACGCATGTACAGTAACCTTTATTTAACCATTTTCATTAACTAGGTGGGACCAAGTCATTGTTTTGCAAGTCACAAGTAAGTCTCAAGTCTTGCTGGACACATTTTCCCCACTAATACAACATGCTAATGTCATTCGCACAAGCCTATGGCATTTTACATTATATAAATTAGCCCAGGGGCTAGCGGAGATTTCCTTTATTCATATGAAGCCAGGAGCAACAGCAACATTTAACAAAGGTAACGTTACAAAATTCAGCTCCATTACAGCCCACAAGGTTCACCGACAAAACAACTGTCTTATACTAAACACGTTTTTCAAACAGAGATTTCCTCTGCTCATATGAAGCCAGGATAAATCACACACAAGACTTAAAATGCTATTTTAGTGGAGGCTTTATTGTCTTCACAATTTATTGTTTCTTATCTGTGAAATTAAAGTAAATAAAAGCTTTGTTTCCACTGAGGGAAATGGTTTCAGCTTACAGAAACAGACAGGAGGTGTGCGAAGCCACCCAGCTGGTTACATTTCTGGGGAGGTGCATGTCAGGCTACGGCGTAGTTATGGGTCGATTCAACGCATAAGTATAAATCCCACTTTAAACTTTGAGTTTTGAGTCCTAAACTGGTCATGATGTCACCAACATATGAATGACATATTCGATTTACAAATATTATGGATGCTTTTTTAAATTTGTATTTATTTGTTAAAACAAGTTCATTTTAAAAGTGACTTAGCTATGCATCAGCTCACTATGCTAATATTCAGTGCTCTCTAATACCTGACCAACTGAATAGATCGATTCCCACTGACTTCCACAACGTCTTCAATGACTGGCCCCAAAATTACATATATTACCATTCTAATGGTCACAATTTTAATCATGTCCTTAACGTCACGAAACAGTAGCAGTTCATCAGGTTTAGGCAACTAAACTATGTGGTTAGGTTTAGGAATACATCATGGTTAAGCATTAAATAAATACTTTTGTAACTAATGTAACATCACATATGTCATGTGACATTCATCACATTAGACATGTCACATACGTCACTAGCGTAGAATGCTACACATACTAGCACATTAGGCTACATTGTTATTAAGAGAAGTCAACACTGACTTCCGGACATGAATACCTTTCTCCTGGATGAAAGTCCTGTGTTTGTTTGCTCCTGTAATAATTACTACCGCCACTAGAGGGCACTGCCTGACAATAAACAGAAATATCTGTCGTAATAATAAGCTGTTGGTTGTTTTTTGTTAAGCGCAGGCTGAAATACAAGCCTCAACTTATTGCAACGTTGCAACGTCACATGTTGTACAAAGTTAGGTATTATTTTTTCCAATGAGAGCTCAGTGACCTAAGATTAGTTCCTCATGGTTCTCTCCTCTTGACTGGATTCTGTCAGTTCGGTGAAAACAAACTGGATCACCTGAGGAATTAAGTGTCGACCTGCTAGAAATGAATAACATTAACCTTAGATGATTCAGGAAATGAACCGATTTCTGTCACACTTTTTAAATAACATACCTTTAATCTTTGGGCTTGGGGGAACTATCAAGTATTTTCAAGTCAAAAGACTCAAGTCCAAGTCCAAGTCTTTGTTGATTTTGTAAAGTCGAATCTAAAGTAATCTAATTTGTCAGTCATGTGACTTAGGTCCACTCCTCTGGTCTAAACCCCTGTCTTTTGATTGGCCAGGATTTAATCTGAGTTGTAAAGGTTGTAATAAGGCCTCCTTATTGTACAGACATAGTATATATATTTATTTAACATAATGTTGTATGAGTGTTACTAACCATATTACTACCCATTTGATCTTCATTCTCTGTCATTTCTTTTAGGATCAGCAGAGGATTCAAAGTATTTTGAAGAAGTATCAGCAGAAAAAGAGAGTAAGTTCATTAAAAACTGAATCCCTCGTGTTTCCCATCTGTTCACTCCAAAACAACTGAAATATAATTTGGTAATTATAACATTTAGAATTGCTGCTGCTGTGTCAACACCCAGGTAATATTAGCTTTTCTCCAATGAAGCTCTCCACTGATGCAAATAATATTTCCTCCACCCTGAAACTGAGTGTTGGAAATTCTCATTTAACGCAGCTACATTACAGAATGACTCAGGCAAGACGGCAGTGAGCAGAGGAAAAGAGACAGAGAAGTAAAGAGACGGATTAAGGTAATGGAGGGTGCATCCATTAATCAATAGATTATTTTATGTGTGTGTTTTCACAGGACCCTGGATTCCTTGAGAAAAAGGAACGCTGTGATTATCTGAAAGCTAAATTAAGCCACATCAAAAACAGAATCCGCACTTTTGACCTGGAAACCATGGAAAAGGGTCGGACATGAAGAAGAACAAGAAATATCTGCAGCACCTGAGGCTCAGTTGTTAGAAGGAAATGTTGGTATTGTACGTTTCTGCAAACCATGAATACGTTACATTTGTACCTTTCAGATAAGAGAAAGCGAGGTAATATGTAAGCTGACTTTGTCATTGGGAGGTTGGGATGGTGGATGGCGTTATGCCTAAGCCAGACGCCTGCCAACTTGCAGACCACTGTTTGAGACCAACAAACAACAACATCGGTTGTCTTTTCTTCAGTCATTGCTCTGTTTTCAGCAGCTTTTTACTAATTAAGACTAATTAGCGAGGATAGTTGCACAAAATGCCATTGTTGTTTACAGAGACATTGCTGCTTTTCCAGTGGGGATCGTGTCCTCAAAACTGGATATTTTAAGCCAAAACATTATCTTTACCTAAACATTTTGTCCCTAAACCTAACCACACATAAACCACAGTGTTGTCAAAAGTTTCCATAGTTGGCAGAAACGAACAACACCAACATTTTTTCTGGCACCCAATGAGCGGACAAAACAAATAACCTCATTGTCACTGATTCTTTGTCTCTTTTTTCATGTTTTGTTGCGTCAGTATATTGATATTATATTTTGAATGCAATGCATGTTTTCACTCTGGATGGGTTGAATAGTTTATTGGATATTTTTTGTACAGAAATCAAGATAAAGCTGGTTTATAACACAATTTTAACACCTGAGATAAAACTTATAAGGGCTAAATGGTACCACTCCTTTTGTGCAGCTTTTATTACACCATTTTGCATTTTCGTATTATATTCCTGTCATTTATGTCAATGCAGAGGAGCAATATGTTGATTCAGTGTATGTTTTAAATTGGCATTCTGCCAGTGACTGCAATTTTTATAATAAAAAAAATCTGTGAAATTTTGTATCATAAAGGATGTTTTTTGCGTGCTGTTTCTTATTTGCACTTGCATTCTGTTGACAGTTGGTTTAAATTACTACCAGTGAGGGCTAGTTTGTTTTGTTCTTGCCACCTAACTGTTAAAAGGGTGTTATCCATGATTTCATTTCAGTTTCTGCTGCTCTGTATTACAATTTACCCTGTGTTAGGAGGTTCCCTGCCCCTCCCCTAGAATATTTAGTATAGTAAGTACTATTTTGGCTACAGTTTGATGACCAACTTAATCATCTCCTGGACTTTGTTTTGGTTACCGAAATCCCTGAGGCTGAATCCAAATGTCCACCCTCATGGACTTCAGTCCCACATAGACGTATTAACTGTCATCACATAAAGTCTGCAAGGGTGGAGACTGTAAGCGGCTGATAGACAGCCCTTGAGACTGATTTACTTGTTGCCCTGGAAACGTTAAACTATCGCTGCTGTCACATTCATATATATGTCATATAAGTTGATGAACAATGATCACTCATCTGACCCTGCAGATAACAAAATATAAATGCCATGTGTGGCCTTTTTGTGACTCAATAAAAATGTATGAATACATCTCTATAAAATAGGTTATACGCCTATTTTTGCCTGTTTCACTGCACAGCCTGATGGGCCGCAATAATAAAATGCATTTTCACTCCCTCTACAGCTTATTCTTATTCATATCTCTGTATCATGATGTGATTGAATATTTTTTCTGACCTACACAATTCAAGTAATATTATGATAGGCCTAATTATCAATAACTATTTTACACATTCACGAGTTTTGTTTCTTCTTGCAGCAATTGAAACAAAACCACAACTTCAGGTTCGTATTGCAATGAATTGTGGGTTATTGAGTCAACCTGGTCTCACATTTTGAAATCGTCTAAATTCAGTGCTTTGGCAGTGACTTGAAGCATCAGACACTGACGAAAAAAGCTGTCGTTTAACGTCGACAACAACCAACACACCCAGGGTACCTTTCACGTCATCTGGATGCGGACGATCCATGACCAAACGTAATATGTGACGAGGTCGGAGTGAGAATGTGTTGGTCTGCTTGTGTGTGCACCCATACGGACTCTTGAGAAGTCTGCAGAAAGTCCACTTGAGGCCCCTTGTGGATTTGGACAGCCCTAAGCACTCTCAGACTTCCCGGGAACGCATGCAAAAGCTGCGAATCTGCAAGTGTGGTGAAGTCCAGATATTTGGATTTAGCCTAAATGTAAATGCAGGAAATGGGATTCAATCCTATTTTTTTCTGGGGGTGGAGCCCAAAACCCCTGATTTATTGTGCCCCCCTCACTTCTCAAACCAAAGTTACGCCCCTGAATGCTTATCATTTTTTACCTAATTATTTTAAATAGTATTTTGTCTGTTGATCTACAAACCAATTAATCGAATAATTGTATTGCTCCACTGTATGACCCACATGTAGCTGCAATAATAATAATGAGAACAGAAACTTTACAAGCAGTGAGTCTTTAATGTTTAATTCACACGGATCCTATAAAGGATCCATGAGAGGACACGTGGAAGCCTCCGGTCAGCAGCGGGTGAACTGTGAGACACACAGCCGCTCCGTAGGTTTCATTTACCGGCTCTCTGTGGAGACAAAGTGTCCGTCAGGGGAAATGAGTCGGTTTACGACCGTCGGTGAGTATAAAGAGCACAAGAGGACACTGTGCTGACAGAGAGGAGGCTCACAGGCGGTATGGTGGACGGGTGCAAAGTTGAGGAGCTGTTTTCAGTTCAGGTGAGTTGTGTTTTCTCTAAAGTGATCATTCAAGTTGTCAAAAGGCTCCAGTTAATATTGTCTTTGGTATTTGTTCGATTATCTGATGTGTTGATTGTTTGAGGAAGACTTTCAGGCATTATGATGAAGGTTTAAAGCCTTTGTAAATAACCAAAGTATTCAGATCTCACTTATTGTGAAATGGACAGAAGTTTAATATTTAGTCATCAGTTTGTTTTGCTGTGTTTGTGTGGACCAAAGATCAGACAGAGCAAAGTCACATCAGGACACAATTGAGAAGTTATTTCTGTTTTGTTTTTCTTACTCTCTGAGAGCCAAACTGAACCATGCAATTGATCAAAAGCCCCCAACAGCTCTGTCACACCTGACTGGGTTTATTTTGTAGCTTCCCCTCTTCTTCTCTCTGTGAGCTGACACCCAGCAGGTGCACACAGGTAACATACAGTGGGTGCTACACTGGGAAGGAACACTTCTGTGGGTCTCTCCTGCAGTAAACAGCACGCATGGCTGCCCCCGGCTCGCCTCTTATCTGCTGTCTGTCTGAATTATTGAAGCCTGTTGGGTTGAGTTGCTCTGCAGTGATGAAGCATGGGTCAGCGATACCGGGGAGAGGGTTCAGGGCTGGACTGAGGTGAATGGAGGGCAGAGAGGTGCATGCTGGGCAACAAAAAGTGCTTTAAAGAGGTGCTGTTAGGACCAAGAAACAGGCATTTGAAGTATTTTATTTTCTACATTCACCTTTTAAATTTTAAGACTCAACTTGAACTTACTCATCAAGGCATCAGAGAATTGAGACAACACAAAGAAAGACTATTTTCCACCTTCAAAGCTGCTGCTAAATGTGTAATTTTGTGCTGCTGAAACATGTATAAGCATGGGCGGATTATGAGACAGTGGGGCCCTGGGTGCAAATTTGCAAAAGACCCAACACCTCGTCTACATCGGAGCGAGACACAGACTTTGTGGTGGTATTGCTTCCTTTCTTGTAGTCGATATGTGTCCTTTCTGGTCATTTTTTGTGTTTATTTTTTGTCTCTTTGAGGTCAGGTTATTTTGTGTGTGTGTTTTTTTCATTGTGTCTTTTTGGGTCATTTTGTGTCTTGTGTGTGTCTTTGAGGCAATTTTGTGTTTCTGTGTGGTTATTTTGGGTCTCTTTGTGGTCATTTTGTGTATTTATAGGTTGTTTTTTTGTCCCTTTGAGGTCCTTTTGTTTCTTTCCCATTTGCTTTGTGTGTCTTTGGGGTAATTTTATGTTTATCTGAGGTTATTTTATGGTCTAGATGTGTCTTTTAGGTCATTTTGTGTATTTGTTTGATTGTTTTGTGTGTCTCTGAGGCAGTTTCGTGTTTTTCTGAGGTTATCTTTGAGGTCAGTTTGTGTCTGTTTTTTTATGACTCTTTGAGGTTATTATGTATATTTCTTGGTTGTTTGTTTTGTCTCTTTGAGGGCATTTTGTTTTTTCCCCATTTAATTTGTGTGTCTTCAAGGCAATTTTGTGTTTCTCAGAGGTTATTTTGGGTCTCTTTGTGGTCATTTTGTGTATTTTTTTGGTTGTTTTTTTTAGGTCATGTTGTTTCTTTTCCATTTGCTTTGTGTGTCTTTGAGGTAATTTCATGTTTCTCTTAGGTTATTCTGGGTATCTTTGAGGTCAGTTTGTGTGTTTTTGCGGTCATTTGGTTTCTGTCTGAGGTTTTTTTGTCTCTTTAAGGTCATTGTGTGTCTTTTTTGGGTAGTTTCTTGTCTCTTTGAGGTCAGTTTGTCTTTTCTTAATGTTTTGTGCCTCTTTGTGGTTGTTTTGCCTGCTTTTTGTAGCTTAACAGTTCCTTTGTGTGTCTTTGTGGTGATTTTAAGTCTTCTCCTAAGGCCTACACTTTGAATCCAGTTCAACTTAACCAGGATATCTTTTCGTTATCCAGCTTCACTAACCCTATCACTGGCCATATGGATAACCAGTATCATAAAGCTAAGGATATCGACAAGTTCAGTCAGCTCTGGGTTTTCCTGTCCAGCGACAAGTGTGTTCATTTGAAAGAGGCAGGGTTTTTAATTGCAAATGACATCATCAGAACCACAAATGAAGTCACCTAATTTGTACTATATGAGATGAAACGGTGACAATATACATCTGCAGGAATGTCCTGTTTTAGAGACAGCAGAAAGATTATGAATTAATTAATCTAATCATATTTTCCTCTTCCAGGTGGAATTGCAGTAACATGGTCTGAACCATGTATGAGCCTCGGTACTACGATAGCCCCCCTGTGTACAGCCCGCCTTACAGCACTAACTCCCACAGCTTCTATCCCCCGAGGAGTGTCCACTCCCCCCAGAGCCAGTATGTCCCCTACACCTACAATGTCCCTCCAGACTCCTACTACGTTGAAGAGAAGCCTCAACACTTCTACCGCTGGTTTTCTCCTCCTGGCTTTGTGAAAACCTTCCAAGGAGCCACAGCACTCATGTGTTTCCTCATCTTTGCCTGCGTGGCGTCGACCTTGGTGTGGGATATGAATGGATTTGGGTATGGGGGCTACGGTGTTGGGGCCACAGGGGCTGTCGCAGGCGTGGAGTCGGGGTATTATGGAGGCAGCTACGGCTACGGTGGCTCCTACATGACGCCGCAGTCTGCCAAGGCGGCGATGATTTCAATGGCGGCCATCAACTTCCTGGTGTCACTGGGCTTCCTGGTGGGGAGTTTCTCACGGTCACGGATCATGAGGGGATGCAGGTTCTACCTCACTGTGTTCATTTGTGATATCATCTTAGCTGTTCTTCAGGTGAGTCTCGCCAAAATGGTGAATGTGTCAGTCAGTTAATAATTCCCAACAACAACATGTAGCAGTCAGGTGAGGGGTATGTAGGTGGGAACATTAAATATCCAGCAAATACAAAGATGTGCTTGGAGTCGTATTTCTGGCCATCTGATGAACGTAAATGCAATAATCACTCAACTTTTAGCTCTGTTTTGGTCTCCACCAGCTCCTGAGGGAAATATTTGGCTTCTCAGTTACTTAATGCTTCACTCTGTTAACCAGCTGTTTGTTAACTGTGTCTGTCTGCTGTTTAATGCTGAGCAGGTTGTGTACAGTAGGTTTATAGGAGCTTTTTTGCAGACACTTGCTTATTGTCTGGAAACAAAGTTGATTAAAAACAGTGAGAACAATAAAGTTACAGACCGGAAAATCAAAACAATGAGCTGAAAGATGCTAAATAGCTCCCTATAGCTGAGGGGAACTACAGATTAAGGTGATAGTTCTCTGTGGGTTCATCACTACAAGTGACCCCTTTCGTTTTTGACCTGTTGTTTATGTATGGAAATGGATTGAGTAGCACAGCTTTTTAGGGACAGTTCACCCCAAAATGAGAAGTGAGTTGCTGAGTGTTGGAGATATCAACTGTAGAGATGTCTGCCTTCTCTCAGATAGGAAAGAACTAGATGGCACTCGGCTTGTGGTGCTCAAAGCACAAACAAAAAAAAAAAAAACATCTGAAAAACTCAACAGCAATGTCTCTTTCCAAGAATCAAGACCCAGTTACTCAAGATAATCCACAGACCTTGTTGTGAGTGGTTTCATGAAGGAACTATTTTCTTTCTACCCAATTACATCCACCAACTGTATCACTGCGCAGGAGGAAGCATGAATCTACTGCTAGCTCACCTAGCTTCACTGAGCTAAGCCTCTCGTCCATGAGTAGATGCACGCTTCCTTCTGCACACTAACACAGTTGGAGGGTGTAGTTTGGTAGAAAGAAAATAGTACCTACATGAAACTGCTCACAACAAGGTCTGTGGATTATCTTGAGTAACCAAGTCATGATTTCTGGAAAGAGACAGTCTGGTGAAGTGGGGCATGAACTTGTATCTCATATGTGTTACAGTAATGTCATGAGAATACTCTTCATATGTTGCATTGGTGGCATCATTAAAAAAATAATAGAATACATTTAATGTAAATCATTATTGTGATTGAACGTTCTTCTCTTTTGACTTCAAGGGCATCATCGACATCATCTTTGTGATCGGGGTGAACCCGATGTCTCAGAGCTCACAGAGCATGCTGTACAATCCCATGCTGATGATGTGTCAGAACATCCAGGGCAATCCGAGCCTCAGTGGCAGCGCTGGGGCCGGTTTTCCTGGAGGGTTCCCCATGTACAATCAATACCTGTACCACTACTGCTACATGGACCCAGAGGAGGTTAGTGGCATTATTCTATTTTAGTAATAGTTTCTTCTGTTTTTTTTCTATCCTGATCTATGATGTACTGTCTTTCCTCAGGCGGTTGCATTAGTTTTGGGTCTGATGGTGGTGTTGGCCCTGTCTCTGTCTGCCTACTACGCCTACAAGACCCGCAGCAAGATTTGGCGCCACGGCAAAGCCAACATCTACTGGGACGAGCCACTGGTCAGGTCGTCAGAGAGCCAGGATGTACAGGACTGGGTGAGTAATGTTTTGATTTATTCCTCGAGGGTTAATGGGGATTGTGTTTGTGTAATCTAAATCAGTACTTGTTACGGTAACTCCACAAAAGATGTGTGGTTTACGTCTGTTTCTATTCTTCTCCAGCCAGATAACAAAACAAAAGCTTACACTCATGTTTGTTCTTTTTATGTTACCTGCAAGTTTAAAGTTCAGAGCCCATTTATTTACACATCATCAAGTCTCTCATTTGTCGCTAGTGACTATTTGGTTTCACTAACGCTCATGATGCTGTTGACTCGGAGAACACGTCTGTTTATCTTTGGCACACCCAGGTTTCACTCTGACTGATCATTAACCAGACGAGTGATAACAGCTGCACAGAAACCAAATAAAAATGTGCGTCAAGCAACATTATATGATTTCCTGTGAACGGAAACAAGTCAGGAGACACTTTCAAAGTAATTCAGCTCATGGTGAAGCGCGAGGTTTCAAGTTTCATGTTGTTTGAACAGATATTATGAGTCATGTGTTTCCTGCACACAGTTATGATCACTCAACTTTTATGGATGGATGTTAACTATTTGAAACCAGTCAAAGTAACTCACTGTGGTCTTTATTATGATAATAATCTTTATTTATAGAGCACTTTTAAAAGGGGCTTCACAAGGCAGCAAAATAAAACTGACAAGCCAAAAAATAAGCAGGTTTAAAAGAAAATAGATGAAAAACAATTAGGTGCATAAAAAGCGAGGAAATAAAGATTATAAAAATGAAATTAAAACTCATGTAAAATCAGAAAAGACTCTCTGATAAAAGTATGTTTTTAAAGGGGACTCAAAAGAGATCACTGACTCAGCCGACCTAATTTCCCCCTTAAACACAGAAGAAAGTAAATTTTGAGGAAGACTGAAAGGAGCAAAGCTGGTAAAGTGTATTTAAGGTTGCAATATCGTACTGTCATACATATGCTTATGTATTTCTTTAACACAGAACCATGCAGACATTTATTAATAAACAGTCAGTGGCAATGAGGACTTCAGTACTGACACTGTATAATTGACCCAAAACCTTAGAAAAGTACAGTACAGCGCCGTAAATATAGACAATGCAGGTAGTGTAGTTGCACTGGGGCCCGTCGTAACTACCTCACGCCACTGGTACAGTATACACCTAAAAGTTTTGTTGCTATCCGTCAGTTAAGAACAAAACTATAGTTTCAGATAAGTGTTAAATAAAGCACATTTAAACAGAAGTGTATTTAGCATTGTTTGGTTGGATGAAACTCCAAAATACCAGAGGCCCCACAAGACCTGCAGCAATTTGGCAGTTCACTTTTTTTTGTTGCCTGTGGTGATGATGTGGGTTAGATAAGCTTTTGTTTATGCACTGTAGCTCACCACATAACAGTTTGTAAACCACAGGTGATGTCTTTGTCAAACTGGCACAACATTTATGGGATGATACTGCACAAATGATCATTTGGGGCTCAAAAATCACTTGGGAAAATTAAATGGTGACGCAGCAGTAAAAATGACAGATTATGGCAGTGCAGCAAAGTGAGAGAAAGTACTGTTGGAACTGGCAGGTGTGGCATCATTTAAAAAAAAAAACCTTCTACATAGATGCCACCATAAAACTGACAACACTGGTAATTGTTGAGCATGTTTACATGCTTTAATGTTCAAAAATCATTTTTTATAAGCATCGGTGCTGGAACACCTGTATTCACCCTCTGTCTTTAAGCTCCACATCCCAGTCTGCTCTGATTGATCAAGGTGTCAGGGTCTTCCATATCTTGGTGTCTCTGCACCATCATTACAGCTAGATAATGACTATAACAAAGCATAGCAGCACTGTGCCAGCAGGAATATGTTTCGAAATCTGGGAGAAATTAACAACATTGGCAGCAGCACTTTTGCTTCTAAACACAACTTGACATGTTTCAGCAGGACTCTGATCCGAAATCAGGGTAAATTTTACAACATCAGCAACCAAGATTACATGTTTCCCTGACGTTAGCATGTAGCTACATGTAGCAGTGTACTTGTAGCAGGGGAATGACTGTAATGGAGAATAGTGACACATTTTGCTGTGAAACCCCCCCAGTAAAAGCTTCCAAACACAACCAAACATGTTCCAGCAGGAATCTGAACTGAAATCAGGGAGAAATTAACATCTGCAGGTACCTTTCCCTGACATTAACATATAGCTACATGTAGCAGTGTAGGCTACTTGTAATGTGGGGAATGACTGTAATGGAGAATAGCAGTTTTGCTTCTAAACACAACTGCACATGTTTCAGCAGAAATCTGATACGAAATCAGGGTAAATTTGACAATGCCGGCAACCAAGATACCATGTTTCCCTGATGTTATCATGTAGCTACACGTAGCAGTGTACTTGCAGTGGGGGAATGACTGTAATGGAGAATAGCAACACATTTTGCCATGAAAAAACACTGGTAAAAGCTTCTAAACACAATCAGACATGTTCTGGCAGGAGTCTGTACTGAAATCAGGGAGAAATTCACAACACTGGCAACTAGGTACGTTTCCCTGATGTTAGCACGTAGCTACATGTAGCAGTGTACTTGTAGCTTGGAATGATTGTAACAGAGTATAGTTGCACTTTCTACTGTGAAAAGTTTCTAAACCAAAAGCTTCATAACCAGACATATTCAGGCAGGAATATGATCCAAAATTTACATGAACTAAGATTGCATGTTTCCCTGACGTTAGCATGTAGCTACATGTGGCAGTGAACTAACAATGTGGGGAATGACTGTAATGGAGAATAGTGGCACATTTTGCCGTGAAAAACACCAATAAAAGCTTCTAAACACAAGCAGATGTGTTCCAGCAGGAATCTGTTGCTATACTGGGGAGAAATTAACAACATCAGCAACCAGGTAGAATGTAGCTACATGTAGCAGTGTACTTGTAACTGGGAATGACTGTATCAGAATATAGCTGCACTTACTACTGTTAAAAATCACAAATTAAAGTTTCTAAACCAAAATCTTCACAAGCAGACATGTTCAGGCAAGAATGTGATCCAAAATCTGGGAGAAATTCACATGAACTAAGTTTATGTGTTTCCCTTTTGTCAGCATGTAGCTACATGTAGCAGTGCACTTGCAGCCAGGTAATGATAGCAACAGAATAAAGCAGCACTTTGTATCATCATAGTAAAATCACCAGCAAAAGCTTTTAAACCAAAATCTTCTCAAGTAGACATGTTCCAGCAGGAATATGATATAAAATTGGAAAGTAACATGAACTAAAATGACATGGTTCCCTGACGTTGGCATGTAGCTACATGTAGCAGTGTAGGCTACATATTGTAAATACTTGCATTAGCGTGCATTGAGCAGATGACCATATAGAGAACCAGTCATGAGCTGATGTCAGCTTGTCTCGAAAATAGAAAAAACAGTTGGAAACAGAGCATTCAGAGCGGTCTGAAGCCTGAGGTTTTTGCTCGCAGGTATTACTTCTACATCATTATTTGAAACTTTGGCCATGTTTAATATGAAAATCCGGTACTGTTATGATATGACAGAAAATAAGGCAAAGCATTATCAGTTCTCTTTAAAATTATTCATGTTTTAATCACTATTAATGACTTTTCGCTATAGAAAAAGGACAGCTTTGGTAGTTTGTTCGAATTACATATTTTCATATTCAGAAGATGGTGAAAGTATTGTAATGCTGTTATACTGTAAATATCTGGCAACTGCTCAGAGTCTGCCAACAGGTTGAAAGCCTCTGTCTCAAACTGTCAGTGCACCAGCATTTAGCAGGTTTTCATGCTGCTGTGGAGCCCTGTGAAAGCTGGGCTGTTTGTTCTTCACAGTGATAGCCTCATGTGGTACTCAGCGGTGATTAATGTACTCGAGTCGCAGTGCACTATGAATGTATCATGTCCACCGTGACTCGTTATGGAAAGGGAAGACGCACATTCAATCAGTTTATCTGGTGAGGCCCTGGCCTACATACTACCTATCAGTGCAGCGGGTGCAGCGAGCCACTTCATCTAGATGCAGGCCCTATTCTGGGGCACTCTTGTATTGCAGTGAAGATGCCTGCCTCGCAGGGAGGCATATATAATGTATGTGGCATGTATAATGTATAAAAAGGGTTGAGTTGCTTCTGTGTTGCTGTGTGAATCCCTACAGAGTGTGGTGGCGCTAAATGATTCAGTATGCGAAGGGACTGCTGCAGATTAGACTCCTGGCAAAGAAGTCATTTCCTCGTGTTTTGTGCTACATTTTTATTTAACAGAACTGGGAAAGGGCAGTAATTGAGAGGAAAGATTGTAGGATAGCTAAATTAAAAGCTAACGCTGCATATTTTAAAAATTGTATGTTAATTATATAGAATAGTTCAGTACAATTAATATTCATCGTCGTGAGGAGCCTCCTGCTCAAGTCGAACAGGAGAACAGAACTGAGAGGATAAACATGATGTGATGAAATGTCAACTGTGCTGCTCCTCCTGCAAAAAGTGAAAAATATCCTTTAACAAATGATTGCTATTTACAGATTCTTTAAAGTGAAGATTTTTGTTGTTGCTTTGTCTTTTTTTTTTTGTTAAACTTGAAGACATCACTATATTTGGAGCTGAAACATTTAGTTGATTAATTCATTGGTTGATCAACTGAACATTAATCAGCAACTATTTTGATAATCAGTTAATACTTTTGAGTTGCTAGTGCCAGCTTATTATATAGATTTTATAGACGTAAACAACAATAACATTTACACCCAAAGATTATGGCTGTGGCTCAGACGTAGAGCGGGTGGTCCAGGCCGGCGGTTCGATCCCCGGCTCCTCCAGTCTGCATGCTGAAGTATCCTTGAGCAAGATACTGAACCCCAAATTGCTCCAGATGATGCTTCCATCCGAGTGTGAGTGTGTTAAAAACTGAGTAGCAGGTGGCACCTTGTATTGTAGCCTTGGTCACCAGTGTGTGACAACTTTTAAATTTTTAGATCACATGAAAAATCACATCTCTATAACTTGTCAAAGTCTTTATTTTTTAAAAAAGTGGGAAAATCCTAATACTGCGTTGCTGTTTTTTCTGAATATTATTATTATTATTATTATTATTATTATTATTATTTTGCCTCTAATGACAGGAAAGTTTTGAAGTGTGAAAGGTGGAGAGAATCGATATTCACCTTGTTCGAGAGTTCATTGATATCCAGTACTTCATTGTGCTCCTTGTAGTTTCTGACCTGCCCAATCACCAGAAGAAAATGTAAGCAGATGTTTCTTCAAACCACATTTACATTTGCAGGTTTCGTAGTCTATAAAATGACGTAGTATATGAGCTGACTTTGTCACCTGAAGGTGGAGGGGGTGGTGGATGACCTGCCAAGCTGCAGACCACTATTAAAGAGTAATAACTAACAAAAGTGGTTGCGATTTAGAGTCATTGCTGTTTTTCCAGCGGCTTTAAAGACACAAAAGCAGTTGTTTTTTAATTCGAGACATTGCTGTTTTTCCTTTCAAGTTATCTGCACAAAAACTTTTTTTACACAGACCTTGCTGATTTTCCACTCAGGATAGTAGCACAAAAAGCAGTTCTTTTATCACAGACATCGCTGATTTTCCTGCAGGGATTGTGCCCGGTGTATTTTGAGCCTAAATATGATCTTTCCCCAACCATAACAAAGTGGTTTTTGTGCTTAGGCAAGTCCAGAGAAGATTTCCAAATACCAAAGGAAAAATTAAAATTTAAAATTTTAGTTGCGGGCACAGATGGGTTAATCCAGAAAATAATCAGTACACTAATTTGCAATGAAAAGAGACACTGAAATCCCTCTTGCCATCTTTAGAGCACTTCCAAATTTCCTTGTCGCAGGTCTTTGGATTTGTCTTCAGCAGAAAGTGTCACAAACACTGACTGGACCTAAAAACACTTGAATTGCACAAAACAGCTTCTTGCTGCAGTGTATCAGATTCCCTGCAGCTTTCTGGGAGTTTGTTTCTTTCCTCCAACTCCACATTCATGAGATCTGTTTCACAGGCTGCTTTTTCCAGACACCAGCTCACTGGATACCCTCCGATCCAGAAATAGGTCAAAGACTAGGAGTCATTAATGATGCATTATACAGTAGAACAGTAGATTACAGGAGACAATGCAGTTTTAGTGTTTGGTATCATTTGAGGACATGTTCTTATGAGCAGGCATGTTTTTTGTAATGCTTTTTCCCCCACGTCTGTGGCTATAAAGGTTTGTAATGTTGCTGTGTGTTGCTGTAGGTGTTTAATGTTCTGTTTGATAAGCATGTTGAGCTCGTTTCTTTCCTGCAATAGAAAATAGCCTTGGTGCTCTGCTGCATGTTTACCAGATAGTTCAGAGAGATGGAACAGCAGAAATGTTTGTTCCACTGATTTCACTCCGGTCTCAACCTCTCTGAGCGTGCTCATGGTGACACACACACACTCACACACACACCTCCACCGGTAACACGCGTTTCATGTCAGACACAGTTCAGAAAATTGTTTTTGTGTGTTTCCTTCCAATTAATTGGTTCTGATGGTTGTTGAAAGAAAGGATTGGAGGTGAGACACTGATCAGGGGGGAAGGGACTTCTGCTCTCTTTTCATTTTACTGCAGGGTGTCAGACTGTGGCCAAGGCTACTGTGTGTGTTCGTCCTTGTATCTATCTGGCTACGTGCATGCATGTCTGGCAGTGACACAGCCGCTCTCATCTGAACGCAGTGTGCTGTGCACTGCAGAGAGCTCTCCAGTTCTGCACTCCGCTGCTTATGTGACAGGTTTAGTGCAGAAAATGTTTTTCTTTCCAGCATACAAAATGACTGACTCCTCCTGAGGACTTTCTCATATGTATCATGATGTTAATATGGCATTAAGTGTCAGAAAAGTACATAATGTGTATTTTCTGTCTTCTGTGTCCACAAGAACAGAATCAAATGATCTGCACTGTGGTTGAATATTAAAAGTTTCTGATCCCAGTCTCCTGTTATGGTCTTAGGTGAACCATGTTGGAGATGTGCGCAGCACCCAGCAGGCACCAACTGTTGTTGTATCAGAGAGAGCAGCACCTGACCTGAGGGCAGAGAACAGTGTGGTCTCCTACGGCAACAGAACAGTCAGCATCCACAGTGAAGGACATTATAAAGGCAACAGGTGAGTGATGGTGGCAGCTGATGAGCCTGAGACACACAGTGCTCAAAAAACAGGAAAACATGTTTCAGTCCTGAACCTTAAAAATCAAGTGTGTTGGATTTCGGTGGATATATTGGTAGAAACGGAATATAATAAGTGTTTCCTTTAGTTTTCGTTACTTTAGAATGAGCCACTTATATCAACACAGGGAGTGGGTCCTCGTGTACAAAGATGACCATGTTTCACCGCCATGTTTCTACAGTAGCCCAGAACGGACAAACCAAACACTGGCTCTAGATAGGGCTATTTATGTCTTTGCCTCCGCCACCGTAGTTGGCAATCCCTCTGCAACAAGAGCATCAAAAAAAACACTTTATTTAAAAAAAAAAAAAAAAAGAAAATTGTGTGAAACTGTTCTGTTCAGTGTTTTTATCCTGTTAAATCACTGGGTCTGTTTGTTCCTAAACGTCAGGATCTTCTGGAACTGAAGCAAACCCACTGAAACACATTATAGTTTTTTCCTATTGTACAGTAACTTTTTTATGTGCAATAATATGCATGAGCACTTTTTTTTTGGTTCCTATTTTAACTGCATAAGTTGGCAATGAGTGTATTAAGTGTATCTACAGTTGCGTAGAATGTGAGTGGAATGGAGGCATTTATTTATTTATTAGACATTACTATTTATTACTTACTTACATATATGAGCCTGGCCCTCGAGTGCACCTGAATTTCGTTATTTGTTTGTACAATGACAATAACGTAATCTGAAATCTTAAGTTAACGGAGAAAGAAGGTGAGCACACATTGGGCTAGCAACTGTCTGCAACCTGCCACACAGGGGAGAAGAAACAGATTTGTAACTTGAAACACTGGGTCCGTGTTTTTAAGCGGAGGAAATCTCACAATCCTAACAGAGAAGTTTCAGCTGTTGCAATCCACAGTCCTCACCGGTAAATGCCACTTAACCCTTCTGAATCTTACACACTGTTCCTTTAAAATGTAGACACCTTAGTTTCTGTGACGACAGTGATTGATGCCTAACGTTTGGCTGCTCTCCTGACAGTTATTAGATAATAATAATAAAAAAGAAACACATGCAGCAATTAGTCAATTATGATGATCCTTTTTCTGATTTTGGTCTTTCTTAGTTCTCAGTTCTAACTAATATGTAATGGTGTACTGTTTTATCCTGCAAAAGAGGAGCAATTGACCAAAACCACATTACTGGGTGATTGATAATTTACTGTCTTGGTCTGATTAGACTGATTACATTGTTTCCACAATAGTTAAGGTTGTTGCAATTTTAAGGAAATGTTCTGCATGTGTTCCATCTTCTTCTTTTATGGTTGACATTGTCGTCACTTGTTCTATCACACCTGAGTCAACCCAATCACCGGAATAAATGTTGGCATTGCACATTTCTGAAAACCACGGATACGCTCCAGTTTCAACAACACTGAGGTTAACGTGTGGTTATGTTTAGGAAAAGACAATGTTTCTGCTTCAAATACCTGGTTTTGGTGGCACTATGTTGGCAGGAGAAGCAGCGACTGGTCATTGAAAAGCAGCCACATCTGGTAGCTAAAAACCTGCTGGAAACGCAGCTATGACTCACTAAAACACAGCTGGTTTTGTTGTTTGTAGGTGTCGAACAGTGGTCTGCAGTTTGGTAGCTCATGTAATTCATCACTTTAGAAACGATGATGCATATGAAACGAACAATATTTGTAGTTTGCAGAAACTTACAATGCCAACATTTCTTCTGGTGACTCTACTGCCTAGTTATTGAATCAAGTGCAGCTGAGAAACATGTAACAAAAAACCCTCCATATTGCTCAGAACCGAGGAGCCAGATTACTTCTGTATTGTTTGTTTCATGCTAACGTGTGTGAGATGCATAAATGTTTTTTGTGGCTGAATTCAAACTTATTCATACAAAATGTCATTTGAAACAATACACCACACATCTTTTGTGGAAAAGAAGTATACACCGACTCTCTGTCCTTATTCTGCCTGGAATATGCTTCAGTTCAGTAAAACGCTTCTTAATTTAATAAGTAATCAGCTGTATGTGGCCTACAGCTCATTATTTAGAGAGGATCATCAAGATGTTTTCTTAATTTCCACTCCATAGCTGCATATAATATTTTCAGACACACTTAAAGTAGGCATTCAAGCACAATCAATCATCTGATGTGTGTCTTGCTTTTCTGTAGTTTCTCTGCCGACAACAGTAACCGTCGGGCTGCGGAGCCTCTGAGCCAGAACAGCAGAGTCACAGTTTGCTCCAGCAGCTCCTCAGATGAGACCGTCAGCATCAGGAAACCTGCTCCTTATCACGCGAAGAAGGAACAGAGGAAGGACCCAGAGCCCAGGCCGTCTGCTCCGGAGATGATGGAGTCCCCATATGAAACCGGTTACACCACCGGAGACACCGGCAATGAGCTGGACCGGGACCACACGAATTACCTCTACAGGTGGGCCGCTGCTCTGCTGCCAATTAGCACTGCAGTCTTAGTGTGTTTGTCATCTGAGTCGAGACACGTTTATGTGTACAGCACACACTACGCAGGGGCAGTCAAAGTGCCTTTTTTTTTTTTTTTTGGAACATAAAGCATTAAGACAAACTAAGGGACTGTTTGTTGTTTATCAGAGGAGGGGAGTGGCTGGGTTTTTAATCATGACCCTCCCTGGAGCTACAAATATTTTTTCTTGAGCCTCCCTGAGTGACTGAGTAAATGTATGATCATCCCTCCGCCATAAATAACCATATTTGTTTTATATTCACGCCAAATGTACAGCACCGAGAGAGTTAGAGTCATTACTTAAACAAATTTAATTCTTCATACATATCGCTTCATCACACAAGCTGGACATAGATTTGTCTCAGTATTATTTGTGTGAACAGATCAACAATCTGTGTGTTAATGCGTACACATAAAACACTTTCCACAAATGCACAAAAGATTTGTAAACTCACAAATATATTTAGCATATTTAAAATGCAGCTGCAAATACACAAACAAATGCCACAAATAAAAAATGTCTTTGAATACATTTATTTAATTTACAAATATGTGAAAAGCATATGTAAATATAAATTTCTTAATGTTCACAACTTTCAAACAGATATTTGTGAGTCCACTTTTTATTTGTGTGTTTGTGTATTTACATTTTATGCACACTGAGTCTTTTTTTTTCATTTATTGATTTAATAGTTTATTGACTACATTTATCCTACCACACAAAATCAACACAATTTACACACAGAACTGTCTGATAAGCTTTTTACCAAATAAACCATAGCTTAACACACAACAGTGACAGCAGCAGCCAGAAAAATATAAATAATTTGGTATGGCAGACATTATTAGATTTTAAAAACTTACCCTTTGATGACTGAAAGTTAAAAGTTGGAAAAACAAAATCCTGGAGTTAAAAAAAGCCTTGTTTTTTTCACTGTTGTCATGCACACAGGAGCACAGAATACAATGTTTGTTTGTTTGTTTGTTCATTTTACAAGATCTGATTCATGCATTCAACACTTACTTGATTAGATAGAATAAAGTGATTTAGATGGAACATCACTATTTTGTCGTGGGATTTGTCGCACATGATGTGTTTAAAGACTGTCGGAAAGTTAAAAATCCAACCATAATTTCTGTATTTACAGTTTCTGGTTTTGATAAATGCTGTATGTTCGGCATTTTTTCTATTGAAAACATGTCTTTCAACCTCACTGGCAGGTTTGTTGGTTCAGAGGGTATTTAAAAGACATACAAAACACAATTTCATAAAGGTTTGTGTCCCTCCCTGAAGCCAAAATAAAAAATCACAAGTCCCTCTCCAGTGCTTAAAAAATTATTTCACATGCCTCCTCCATTTTGCACCACCCCCTCCCCTATTATTAGTAACTAACACTCCCTAAAGGGGTGCTAGCCATTTTTAAGTTTTAAAAATAAATGTAGAGAAAAAAAGATTGTCGTAGTATCACAGTCGCCCCAAGCTAAAAGTTAAGGTTGCTATGACACTTTTATATTAATAATTTTAGTTACTGTGATCCAACTGAAAGACTTTTTTTATTTCAATGAGTGTTCAGATTCTTTTCCTCTCTGTAAGATAACAGATTATTATTAGTAAATTAAAATATTATTATTAAAATGCTAAATTCAAAGACGCAAATTAAAGTACTGAAGACTGAGCTGATGCCTTACTTCCCTCTGGTGTGCGCTGCCTTGAAAGAGTATCACAGAGAATCATATTATTTGAGAAGAAAATGCTGCAACACTACAAATACTGTCCTGCATCACTGCTGTCTTTGAGGCAAGTTGGCCAACTGTAATAATTATTTTAATTTAATACTGGTTACGATAAAGAACACTCATTCCCCTCTCTTTCTGCCACTGCCTCAGTAATAATTTAAATTTAATAACAATTTCATGTCTTCATGTTAATATCCCACCTCAGGCTGTACCCAGAGATAACTTCAGATGAGCAGCGCCGGCAGTACAAGAAGGAGTTTGACTCCGATCTTGCCCGCTATAAGAGCCTCTGCGCCGAAATGGATGACATCAGTGACCAGATGCACAAGCTGAGCCGAGAGCTGGACATGTTGGACGAGGACTCCATGAAGTACCAGGTAGAAAACAACAGAAGGGTGGAGCGCAGAATGGAAAAATTCAGGGCCGGCTGCCAGGAGAGTGTGCAGTCAGAGCTGAGCCTTTTAATTATATCTAACAGCTCAGGTCAGCCTCAGTGTGAGTCTGTGGGTCGGCCACAGGAACACAAAGCAGTGAAGATGAATTGAAACAATTACAATCCCTGAATTATTTTATGTTGTTTATATATTATAAAGTCAGCACAACCCAGTGAGATGATTTTGTATTTCCATTTTCAGGGTGTGGCAGACGAGTATAACCGACTCAAAGACCTGAAAAAGGTGAGTGGAATTAGATCTCATTGTATAATGTGAAATTAAAAGAATAGTTACGTTAGATGATCAGATCGATAACACTCACATTTGCTGAAATGAGAATGAGGAGAAAAAGAAGACGAAATAATAATAGCTTGGATTATTAAAGCACCTCTCAAGGTACCAAAGGATGTTTTAAGTGTAAGATGGCAGAAACAAAGGACACACAAACAAAAAATAGTGGCAGCAGTGTTTGCTGAAGATAACAGGATTAACTGAGTCCTCAGGCCGTGGTGAACAGGTTGGTTTTCAGTTTTTCAAAAGATGAATTTCTGCTGGGAGAGAGTTCCAGAGGGACACTGAGGGCTCTGTCCCTGAAAATCTGTATGGAAAGTTAAATCTAACCACTCTTAAAACTACAACTTGGTAGCTAGTTAGCTATGCCTATTTCCAAGCCCCAAGGAAGAGACCAGGTTTGGAAGCGAATTTTGCTTTGCTAATTAGTGGAATTACAATGTCGAGGGTTGTCATGTGATGTCCTTTGGCCCAATTTCCCCATGGATGTACATTAAGAAAGAGACGTTTGTTAATCACAGTTACCATGAAGTGGATTGTTTCACTATCAGGATTTGATCCATTCGTTTTGATAACATTTGGAAATTCTACAAGAGACACACAATTCAGATTGACGGAACGCTGAACCAAAAGTTAGCTGCTCTGTCGTGAAAGTCTGCAGTGTGCTTGCACTATGGGCCCAACGATGCGGAAGAGCTGGGTAATTTTATACCTGGGAAGTCAAATTCTTGGCTTCTTGTGCCACTGAGCAGCTTTCATAGAAATGAGCAGGATCCCACCAATGGATGTATAAAGAGAACTGGATACAGGGTTAGAGGTGGGGCCCTGTTAACTCCTATAAAAGCTGCTCAGAGGCGCATGAAGCCAAAAAAGGTTGATTATCACGATATGAAATTACCTGGATCTTCTGCATCATTGGGCCCATATACACTGCCTGGCCAAAAAAAAGTCACCACCAAAAAAAAAGGTCATACACTCTAATATTTCGTTGGACCGCCTTTAGCTTTGATTACGGCACGCATTCGCTGTGGCATTGTTTCGATAAGCTTCTGCAATGTCACAAGATTTATTTCCATCCAGTGTTGCATTCATTTTTCACCAAGATCTTGCATTGATGATGGTAGAGTCTGACCGCTGCGCAAAGCCCTCTCCAGCACATCCCAAAGATTCTCAATGGGGTTAAGGTCTGGACTCTGTGGTGGCCAATCCATGTGTGAAAATGATGTCTCATGCTCCCTGAACCAGTCTTTCACAATTTGAGCCCGATGAATCCTGGCATTGTCATCTTGGAATATGCCCGTGCCATCAGGGAAGAAATCTATTGATGGAATAACCTGGTCATTCAGTATATTCAGGTAGTCAGCTGACCTCATTCTTTGAGCACATACTGTTGCTGAACCTAGACCTGACCAACTGCAGCAACCCCAGATCATAACACTGCTCCCACTGCCCACTAGGCATGATGGGTGCATCACTTCATCTGCCTCTCTTCTTACCCTGATGAGCCCATCACTCTGGAACAGGGTAAATCTGGACTCATCAGACCACATGACCTTCTTCCATTGCTCCAGAGTCCAATCTTTATGCTCTCTAGCAAATTTAAGCCTTTTTTTCCGGTTAGCCTCACTGATTAGTGGTTTTCTTAAGGCTACACAGCTGTTCAGTCCCAATCCCTTGAGTTCCCTTCCCATTGTGCATGTGGAAATGCTCTTACTTTCACTATTAAACACAGCCCTGAGTTCTACTGTTGTTTTTCTTCGATTTGATCTCACCAAACGTTTAAGTGATCGCCGATCACGATCATTGAGGATTTTTTTCCGGCCACATTTCTTCCTCGAATACGATGGGTCCCCACTATCCTTCCAGTTTTTAATAATGCGTTGGACAGTTCTTAACCCAATTTTAGTAGTTTCTGCAATCTCCTTAGATGTTTTCTCTGCTTGATGCATGCCAATGATTTGACCCTTCTCAAACAGACTAACATCTTTTCCACGACCACGGGATGTGTCTTTCGACATGGTTGTTTAGGAAATGAGAAGCAACTCATTGCACCAGTTGGGGTTAAATAACTTGTTGCCAGCTGAAAGATAATCGCCCATGCAGTAATTATCCAATAGGAGGCTCGTACCTATTTGCTTAGTTAAATCCAGGTGGCGACTTTTTTTTTGGCCAGGCAGTGTAGCAAACACATTTACACCGGCTGAGAGACTAACTTCTGGTTTAGCCTTCCGCTAACTTGAATGGGGATGAAATTACTTCATTGTGCGGCTCTTCTTGACATTCGAATGTCATCTGAATGAATAGATCAGTAGAGTATTTACAGACATCTCTTTCACAATGTAAATCTATGTGAAAAAGTACTTTTGGGCCGGATGGCAAAACGTGATGGACTTATACCTGGTTCACACTACATGATATCAGCCCGATTCTAGCCTGCGATGCAGCAACGTATGATGTTGGCATTGATCATGAACAACAATGAGTGTTGTACACGATAATTCATCGTTTCATCTTGTCTAGTGTGTCATAGTAGACGACAATCGATGCCACGTCTGGGACGCCTCACAATGTTCCAACAGAAAGTCTAGCATGTTGATTTTCTTTTTGTCGTTCATGACTTCTCCCGTCACAGCTGTCACTTTGACCAGTAGAAAGACAGAGTGATCTGCTGCCGTAGAGAACTGTACGGCAACAACACCCCAGGGTTTTTGATATTTCCTCTAGGGATGTTACCACACAGAGTAAAAGGGGAAAAATTATGGCGTGTAACAGCAGAGGCACTTTAGCAAGCCACTGAGTACTGCCATTAGCATCAAGCTAGCAAACAATGTTACTTCTTCTTAATGGAGACGGGCATAAAGTAAGAAAATTAATAAGTAGAGGCGGGGCTTTTATTTACCATAAATGCAGAGGCTACCAGTTTCATGGTTCTTGGTTCTTGGCCCTGCCTCCAACACTGTACGCCTTGTCTCCACTTACACATGTATGGAAACGAGTCAACTGGAAGTCCATTCATTCCTATAGGAATCTACGTGATGTCCAGTGTGCCTGTGAAACACCTCCCCTCCGTGATGTTTCAGTCCAGAATTTGCCTCGAGTACTTTAAAAAAATTTTGCGGTGGATTTCGGAGAGACCGTAGGACAGTGTGCTAGCTTAACCAATAGGCTGCTAACAGGCTAACAAGCTATTTCCTTCAATTCAGTTTCCTGTTGATTGTCAAGTGAGTTTTTGCGATTAAACTTGTTTATCTAGTTTTAAGACATTGTCAATTTCACTTCTGTTAAAATATGGTCATACATAATGTGCAGTCAGATTGTCATATGACTTGTTCAGCCATTCGTATATCTTTTTAATTAAATATTTAACATAACATGCCACATACCTGGCAGGTTCGGTTTTTGCCCCGGTAATGTTCCAAGCGCATATTCCAAACTACTGGATGGTGAAAAACAGACAAAATTAGCCCCCCCCCCCCATGGCTAAATGTAGTTTCTATCAGATTTCTATCCATCTAACTTTATGCAAAAAAGTGAATGAGCAAATTTTTAAACAACTATTCTACTAGAGGTATTGCTGCTGATAATGTTGAATGTTTAATATCCACTTGCTTTAATTTCTTTGCCCTCTAGACTCCAGACTATCAAGCAAAGAAGAGGCAGTGCAAAGAACTTCGGCAAAAACTTTTCCACATCAAGCGTCTGGTGAAAACCTTTGACCAAGGTCTTTGTTAGTGTGCGTCTTAATAATCTGTCCGAACAGCTGAGGATGAACACTGACGGGGTGTGACCTGGCTAAAGAAACATGGATTCATCCTCCATCTTCAGTTTTATTGCTTTGCTGTTTGAATTGTGACAGTTCAGCTCAACACGACCCTCATGCCGGCCTCACTGAACCTCAGCTGTTTGTGACCCCAGTGTTTACAACGTCTGTATCACTTCTGCCGCTGTCAGAATAGATTACTGTCAAAATAGAGCTACGTTTAAACTTCTCTGTGTGGTTGTAACATTTGAATTTGTTGTAACTTGTGTTAGATTTTACTTTAAGCAGCAGTTTTAATGTAATAATGTGTAATTGTTACAGGATGTTGAAATATGGGACGTGATGAATGTCAGTTTTTATACAGAGATAATGTCATGACTGAAGGTTGAAAAAGAGAAAATTATGTGAATAAATAATCAGTTAACGTACTTCCATTTTTGGAATTGACTTTCATTATTAGGTGGCACAGTGATGCAGTGGTTCAAACCCAGAGTGGGAGCCCTTCTGTGTGGAGTTTGCATGTTCTCCCCATGTCATTGTGGGTTTACTCCAGGTACTCCAGCTTCCTCCCACGGTCCAAAGACAAGCAGGTTAATTGGTGACTCTAAATTGTCCGTAGGTGAGAATGTGAGTGTGAATGGTTGTCTGTCTCTATGTGTCAGCCCTGTGATAGTCTGGTGACCTGTCCAGGGTGAACCCCGCCTCTCACCCAATGTCAGCTAGGATTGGTGACCCTCTACAGAATAAGCGATTACAGAAATAGATGTGAATATTTCTTCCAAATGGTTAATTTTGGCGAAAGCTTAGATTTGGTTAGGTTTCCTGACGGAAGCGTTTGTCGCGCATGATGTGTTAAAAGACTGTTGGAAATTTTAAAATCCAACCATTATTTCTGTATTTACAGTTTCAAGTTTTGATTAAAGGTGTTATTTGTTAGAGGAAATATACCTTTCAAACCCGCTGGCAGGTTTTGGGGTATTTTTGGACACATTCACACTGGCGCTATTTGGTCCACTTTAAATGAACCCTGGTCTGCTTATACGGATAGTTCGGTTTGTTTGAAATGGCGTGAAGGCTCATTCAAACTCTGGTGCGGACCACACGAGCGAACCCTGGTCCGCTTGAAAACTAGGGGTCTCGGTTCACTTGCAAATGAACCCTGGTGTGGTTCGCTTACAGTGGGACATGCAAAAAGTGCAGTGTGAAAGTGAACCAAACCAAATGAAGGTGTGAAATTTTTCAGCATTACCCCAGCTGGGTGCTCCGGCTTCCTCCCACAGTCCAAAGACATACAGGTTAATTGTTGACTCTAAATTGCCCATAGGTGTGAATGTGAGTGTGAATGTGTTAGCCCTGTGATAGTCTGGTGACCTGTCCAGGGTATACCCCACCTCTTGCCCAGTGTCAGCTGGGATAGGCTCCAGCCCCCTTGCAACCCCTAACAGGATAAGCAGTTACAGAAAATGAATGAATGAACTTCCATTATTAAAACACTTGTACATTTATGGTACATGTTGCAGTGTTTATTTGGCATTCTTCATACAGATGTAATTACAACACTTTTTCAAGTAATTTGAAAAACAAAAATGTAACTAAAGACACATCGTCATCTTCTGATTCTTTTAATAACGTTGCCATACACATGAAAGTTTTAAAACTTAAGAACTCAGTAACACAAAGATAAGAAAACATTTATAGCATAATCATCTTTTTCTTTTTTTTTTTTTTTACTTCGATGACATGGGTGTGTGAGTTGTTGTCTAAAAGAAGAATATCCAAATGTCTTTCAAAAGGCCCGGTGGTAGATCAAGAAGCAGAGTTACATCCTTAAACTTTGTGTGTGTGGAAACACTAAATGCTGAAATATGTTGTGTTTTGAGTTGATATCGTTCTTTCCTTTCAAATTTGATTCTGTAAACTCGCCTCTTGAAACACCTGTGTGAGGTAAATCCTGGTGGACCAGCGAATCTGGGCCCAACTTCTCTTAACGTCTCACAGATAGCGTGATGTTTTGGCATTAAAATCCTCCAAGTGCAGTTTTTTTTTCTCCACCAGATTTTCATCCATTACAGTGTTGTCTCACATCATTCACAACAGCATCTCTGTCACATCAGCTGTAATGGCATGAAGATAAGCTTCTTTTTTTTGACATCTAAACAGATGACAGAGGTATTTTCATGTAAATACATATAGAAAAAAACATTTAGGAGCTAACAGTGAAAGCAATACTTTAAATGTTTAAATGAACCTTGAATTACATAATGTAAAAGAAACAGTCTCCACTTAGCAGAGATCCAAAACAACATTTCAAACATGCAAAAAGACAAAGTTGGCCTCAATATATACACTTCAATACATTTTTTCGGGAGACTATTACCCCCAGAAACAGCATTGATCGACGTAAACTGGTATTCAATTAGTAGTGTTGGTTATAAACTCTCTCACCACTAACTATTCACTAATTCTTATATCTGGAGTTGTTTTACTAGAACCCGAGTTGATGTCAGCCTGCCATTGTCTCAATAGAAAAAAAATTACAATGTTTAATAGCTGAATTCACCTTATTCAGTCAGTCAGAACTCATATTCAAAAACACAAGTGAAAATCACTTTGGGGATTTGTTTTTAAAAAGATACAAGACGAATGTTTGTGATGCTCATTTCATATTTTATAATGTGTCCCAAATTCATAATGAATAACAAGGCAGTTGTCAAAAAGAAGGCGGTTTCTGGTGAACAACACTTACAGAGGTTTGTGTTTAGGAAAGATCAGACTGAAGCATTCTGATGTCTTGTGAGGTATTAGTCCGCTGTCATGTAACTGTGGCTGCTTTCTTTTCTTTTTTTTTTTTGGAAAAAATCTTTAACTCCAGCAACAGTGAGCCCTGTGAATGAATTTAAATGCATTGTTCACTTGATGGTCAGTCACAAGAGTCCGTTCAGCTCTTTCTCTCTGCTTTGTGTACTAATTCTGTTTAAAAAGCATCTCTGAGGATGATATGATAGACTTTGGTGATTATTCCTTGGTTTTATTTCACTTCTATTCCATTTGATCGACTCCTTGGCTTCTTTCTCAGCTCAGTTCAAAAGTTTCTCTTCAACAACGAGGCATTTCCTTTGTCTTATGCTCAGTTCACCACCGTTCATTAAATCCAACTAATAACGAGACTGTAATGTTTTCAGTTATGTGGATAAAAAGGTCACTGTATCACAAATGGTGAGCCATGGAAAATGAGCCCAGTGTGGGGAAAATTGTTCTGCTGACTTTCAGCGGCGGGACAGTTTTGTCCTCTAGATGTATTTGTAGCAGGGTGCTGCTGCCCTCTACATGAAACTGCGGCGTCTTTAGTCACTATGGCATGTGGGTGGTGACATGACTGGCTGTGGTGGCCATATCGGAGCCCAGCATGAAAAGCTGGTCTCTGGCCTGAGACCTGGCACCAGAACGACTGGGCTGGCAACAAGACAGATCCAGCCTGGCACTGGCTCCTCTCTTCGCTGGAGGCCCGCGTGGAGACAGAGGGCTCGTTTCATGAGGGGGAATAGAGCGGTTTCAGTACAGTACATATGATGGCCAGCTGGCGCTGCAGTTTGATAACCACACAGATGGATAGTGATGAGTCAGGAGGTTTCCTGTGGGTCCTTGTCGTCACTAATCCCAGACGGAGACCTCGCCTGTAAGGGGGCTACTGTCCTGGGACATACGGCCAGCTGATTGAGCTTCCGGAGAGCTGCATGTCACGGATCAGCGTCTCAATGGGTGTCTTTCCTACCAGGCGCATGAAAAAGAGCTGCGAGATGAGGTTGGCGGGAACGGCGCGCAGGGCAGGGAGGCGCAGGAGCAGGCGTCCGAAGCGCTGAGGCTGACTCGGGTACTGCATCCTTTCATACTCTGTCAGAGCCACCTGAGCCTTCTCCTGCAGAGACTCCACGTGGACTGGGTCTGTTAGACCACAGGCGTCTGAAAGGGAAGGAGGAGGAGGCAGTTACTTAATAGTGTGGGCAGGTTACATAAAGCGTCGTGATGAGCCGAAAGGAAAGTTGAAATCCCAGCAGATAATGTGATAAAATGCCCGTGAGGGGAACACATACAAATATAGCGCCTCAGCATGTGTGCACTATAAAAAGAACACATTTAAAACCTATTAACCCTGATCATAGGATTGTAAAGAAAGGCAGGAAGTGCTCATTTAGCTTTCAAAGGATCTGAATTCTTTTGGATGAGGCAGATCTACTGAGTAATTTGTTTAGGGAGCCCACTTTAAAAGTCTTGTGCACAGTGCTGCATAATGATCAGTGACAGCACTAAATTATACAGCACATTGTGCATTATTGCATTTTCATTAATGAGCCAGGAGATGGTGCCATAGGAGATGAATTCCCAGATTAAGGTTGCAGATTTACCTGCAGTTCTCCTCACACTAAAACACAGCTCAGCCAAAACATTTAAACTGCCAACAGGTTAAGTGAATTGTTATCGATCATCTCGTTACAATGCAGTGTTCTGCTGGGAAACCTTGGCTCCTGGTATTCATCTGGATGCCACTTGACATGCACCACCCACCCAAACACAATTAAAGACCAAGTGCACCCCGTCATGGCCAGCAGTGCACCTCCTAACAGCACAATGCACCATACTGCACACCACACTGTATAAAACTGCTCAGGAGTGGCCCAGGGAACATGACCAAGAGCTCAAGGTGTTGATCTGGCCTCCAAATTCCCCAGATCCCAGTCCAGTCATCCATGGGATGTGCTGATACCCAATCCGTGGGACAAAGCGGTACCCTACCTCGCAACCTACTGGACTCAAAGGATCCGCCACCAATGCCCTGGTGCCAAACACGAAAAGACGACCTCTGAGGTGCTGTGTCCATGCCTCGACAGGTCAGACCCAAGTGTGCTCCATGGTGGGGCCTCTGACCTGTCGAGGCATGGACACAGCACCTCAGAGGTCGTCTTTTCCTGTTAGGCACCAGGGCAATGGTGGCAGATCCTTTGAGTCTGCAGGTTGCAAGGTGGGGTACTGCTTTGTCCCAGGAATGCTTGATCAGATTGGGATCTGGGGAATTTAGAGGCCAAATCGATGCCTTGAGCTCTTTGTCACGCTCATTGGGCCATTGCTGAGCAGTTCTTGTGGTGTGGCATGGTGCATTGTCCTGTGGGCGGGCCACTGCCATCGAGGAGTGCTATTGCTATGAGGGGTGTACTTGGTCTGCAATGGCGTTTGGGTGGGTGACAAGTTAACACATGAAGATCATTTTACTGGTCATGCTTAGTCCTACTTGCCCTGTGAAAAGCTTTGTAAATTCTGAAAAGGTAACGCTGATGATGTCATGGTGATGTCATGAGGGTTATCTCGGTTTAGGCTTTGAGAACGCAAATTTCTGACAGAAAGCTTGTGTTAAAAAAATGCAGATGTGGAGTTGGAAAGA